TAGGTAACCGCATCGTTATGTCGAGGCTGGTAGCTAAACTAAGAGTTTAACTTTAAAGTTCGCCAGTTTTACTGTTACTCTAATGAAAAAAAAGAAAAAAAAAAACACTGTTCACATAGAGTTGTTCGTTTTTCATTTACGTTTCAAAGAAAAAAACATCACTATCAAAAACACGAATACGATAAAAAGTAGCGGAGAAAAATGTCTTCGAAATCGTTAAGCTTTGATTAAGTTCCTGTCGGGTTGTACCCTGTCAAACACCCTGTATATATGTTTGAAGGCTACACACACATATATATCTATCTGAGAATGGCTATAGCACAGTGGCAAGTGTGGTAGGCACTGAATAGGACAGCCGTCTAACCGTTATAGGGCCTTTTTCTCCCCCACTTGCATGACATACACTTAGTCTATCGATAGGCTGCTGCGGCCGTCGTTCTAAAAGTGATTTAGTGACGAAGATGCTGGCTGGCCGATTTGTGTGCACCTTGTGACTGGGCGACTGACTGAAACAGGCGTTCAGCTCGAACGCGTCCTCGTGTCAAACGAAGCGACTCAACACAGACACCTACCATTACCACTACGTCGTAGAACACACAAGCATCATGTTCAGGATTTGGACTCAGACTTAAACCTTACACATAAGAACAGTAATCCCGCTGTTTGAGCAATTGTATAATGCATAGCGTTACGCTCTTACTGCTCTGCTGCGACTTTCTCGTTCACGCATATATATATATATATATATGTCTGCGTGTGCATATACGTATGTATGTCTGCGAGTGCTAACATATATATATATATATACATGGATGCATCTATTTACATTCAGTTACATATATATATATATATATATTATGTGTATGTGCACTTGGTTGGATGGTTAGCCCGCTTGTGGGGCGGGGCTTCATTTGGCAGGCCGCTCTCTTTAGTGTTGCCGTCGTTGCCAGAGAACTGATGCTGCGACCGATGGAACGCTAGGCATAGTTAGCTCGCCAGACTGGGTATGTCAAGCTGAGCGTCTGTGTGATATGCCATGACAGCCGTCTCCAATGCTGTGCAGGTAGCAACGAATGGCGATGGTAACAAACGAATTTTCCGCCGAAGTAAGTGGCGATGTCGGCTGTTTGCTGAACGGTTAAAAGTAGCGTGGCAATCCCACCGGCACAGCTATGCTCATCTTTAGTTGCCGAAGGGAAAAAGGTAATGGAACTGTAATACCAACTTAAACTGGGAGCTTCATCTTAGGAGCAGGAGGGTGAGATCAATACAAAACCTAACAAAATCAGCAAGTAGCAACAATGGCAATAGGTATGTGTTACGTTTACCCCCTGCATCGAGTCTCGCTTTGCCCTGTACCAATTTAAGCTACATATACCCCTATTTTGCTAGACGACATTTATATGTCATGCAATTACCAGTAAATGTTAAAGTACTGTTCACAGTTCCTACCGATTTCATTTAAGTTGACACAATGGGAAAAGCGGGCATACTCTGCCTGAGTAACAACAATAATTGTAGTCGTCTTCATGATGGCGTCAAGCTCTAGAGAGTCCAGAGCGCAGCTGAAGTATCGTCGACCATTGCTTTGAATTCGGTTTGGCTAAGATAGAAGTAATATGCAGAAAATGTTTTTCTGCTCATCTAGCCAAACGCGCTATAACAGCAATGCTACGCATAAAAAGAACAAGCTAAGTTCCGATACGACTCACAGCAGCATGAGTACTGTTGATTCTAACCATTGGTGGTCCATCAGCGACTACACATATATTCCAGAACATCTCTTAAATGACCGCAGTTTTCCCTAATCGAGCCCCTATAGAGTACTTCCGTTTCAGACCTCGTTGTTCCTTATTGCCAGCCATTGCTGCCCATTTCTGCCACTACCGCTACGGACGAATTCTGTTCTGTAACAACATTGTTGCAGTTAAGTTGGTGCTGTATGAGGCGAAATCTTGCCGCATTTTTGAAAGCTATGGTAGAAAAGTACTACGATCTGCTTGACGTACCTACAGGCTTCAGCCGTACTTGTTTTCCAGTTAGTGAATTGATTTAATCTAGTTCTGTATCTAGACTAATGAAGACCATAGCTAGAACTCACATTAACTATATCATCGTTGCGTTTACCCTGTCTCACCCAGCCCGAGAGCCTTTTGCCGTTATTTATACATCAACCTGTTCCAATACATTTGCCAGGGGCTCCAAGAAATTAACATTTGTCTTAACCTCGATACGTTAGCTTTTGGTACAGTTGAACAATTTGATTACGGGCTTTTTTGTGTGTTGGCTAAGTGAATAGGGTCCGCCGTCAGCCAGTCTCTAAAGAATGAATAGAAATCGATTGATTTCGGCCGATTGTCGTTATTTAGAAATATTGTCAGATTAAGTAGATTTCCGCTTGGCTTACGTATGGGTAAAATAGATGCTACGTTCGATTGTCTGCTTTTCTTCGACATTTTCACTCAAATCGTCGAGATCTAGCGAAGTACATTGGCTTGCCATTTTTTTTTACAAGAGAAAAACCTTTCGAAAAATGTCCTACCAACTCTTACTAATGCTGATTTCATTATTTATAACTCTCTCATAGACATGCGTAAAAAATATGGGATTTCTACAAGAAAACAACCGCCTTAAAACGACAGGAATGAGCAAATGCACCCCATCGTCATAAAGATTTTTTAAATAGGACTAGACTAGTACTATGTCCCCCCAATAGAAGAAAGAAACTGGCCTTTTGGAAAAACATTTGCATAGTCAGGTAATATAAACTACGATTATGAGTTATTTAAGCAAAATTACCGATTTTTTGTTAAATCTTACTTCTTAGTAATAAAAATTACTTCTTAGTGTTAATATGCTAGAGCTTGAGATACAAATGAGTTTTCAATACTAATCTTTCCTTCAAATGATCAATGGTTGACGAAAAAGCGGCCCAAACTCTATGGGAGAACACCCTAAGGAAAAGAAATTTCATCAAGCCGCAACTTAAAAGAAAGAAACTGTCCTTTGAAATTGTTCATACATGTGAAATAGAATGAGGTAATTTACATTGTATCAAATAAGAATCACCATTTTCCTGCTAGATAATAGCAGAGCTGTTAAAATTCAGGAACTGTTCTTTAAATCCAATTTGACGCATGTTCGTAGGAACCTGAAGATAGAATTTTTCTGGGGACGTAATCATCTGATTAGTTCTATGGTACGCAGACGCAGAGCTCTTCCGCGGTTGGACCTTCAACGATCCACTAAACATTCGATTAATTCACGGCGTTGAGTTGGGTCAGACAAACACAAACAACGGCCACAAAGTTTGAGTTGTCCAACGTAGATGGGCTTCTCCCCGTGCTTTCTTTGCTATTAAATATATCTGACTCCATTTATGAAAACGTAACAGACTGCTTAAAACCGTAACTGAGGTAACGTCCAATAGCGACTAGGTTAACCCTTTAACAACGGCTTATTTCGCAAGATGGCTGAAGACAATTTTTCGTGCAATAAACGTTGAATAGATTTATCCTGTAACGCTTGTGAACGCCGTATAATTTTTATAGAAACATGCATTTGTACGTTTGATAATCTAGCGGTGCAAAGGATGTTGATGTAAACGGCAGGGTGACGTCGTTCTTAAACGTGGAAGATGAATACGAAATTGTCAGCTTCAATTTACTGCCAGCCTAATTAATATTACGCTCTATAGTGAAAAACAACTTTCGCCTTTTTTTTGGGGGTAAAAGTAAAGTATTTGCTTGATTGACTCGATTTTTTGCGCAGACTCTTCCAAGGGGCGACTTTGCCGACCGACAAAAATTAGCCTAGTCCCTGAGAGGTCGTTTGGAGCTGGGCAAACCTGCTCATTTAAGCCTTTAATATCGTGTAGATAGGTTAATCAAGCATCGGTTACGGTAACACAACATTCTCCTCGTCACTTGCATACTCAGTAACGATCCATGGCTCAAGCGTTTCATCCATTACATATTTGCCGTCCGTGAATCTAGCAGCAAGACCTAAATGTTCGGCCCAAACGTTTACTCTTTCCACGTGCTCCTTCTTACCCCATCTAGTACACGCCATCTACATGTAAATACCTGTAAGCATACACGTGTTAGTTACATGATTATCTTCGCGCATGTTGAGCTTCCATAATTCTTATCACCTCTTTCCAGAACAAAACAAAGAGACAATCGGAATCATTAGCGGTGTGCGTCTGACAATTGTCGCCGACGTTGCCCGTGTAATTTCACAGTGTTGGCGTATACCATGCGTCTCTGCTGTATTGAACGCCTATCGCACTATTTGTCGAACAGTGACGCTACGGATACTTGGGGAAAACCGTTCGGTCGTCTGCTACGATTGCAGCCGCTGACACACCAGCGCCGTTTCGTGTTAATCGATAAGTGTAATGTGTTGACTGGCTAATCGGCTAAGTGATAGCCATGTATTGTAGTTAGCTAAACGACAGCGACCTTCGCTTTGTTAACGCCATTAGCTCTTCCGTTTCGGGCAAAGCGTAACGTCTCTGTCATCGGAACTGCTAATAGACGACGCGGCCGTACCCGCCTAGAAGCCAATCATCATCACCGCAAACAGCATGCCGGCTGTCCTGCGATGGTCAGGAGTATTCACCCGTTGTCCGACTGAAACTCCGTGCAGTGCAGCTTCCGAACAAATGTGATCACTGCAAAAGATGTTACTCTTGTCCCTTAGTAGTAGAGAAAACAAACATATGTTCGCGCTGCACCTTTGGCCTTCAGTCATAGTAGAGTTAATGGATCAGACGGAGGCGAAAATATATCTATTTAGTATAAACACCGTTGCAAGGGAGTGTTGGTGCTCCTGAAAACAGACATCAATGCCACATGTCAAGGACCGTTAACTTGAAAATAAATAATTTTTTTTTTAGCGTATTTAAGATCGTCGTGCTGTTCACTTCTCTGCCGTTATACATAATAGGTTATACCTAGCAGTAATCTCTTCTTTATTATTTCTTTATCGGATTTTAGAATCGTCGTATGAAATGGAAGAAGGAACACAGGCTAGCGAACACCGTTCCGGCGCAAATTGGTGGCCATATGAGTCCCATGGCCTCCCTAATGGGTTCGGGTGCCCTGCACGGCCAACATCACTCATCATTACCACCCTCTCACCTCGTAAGTCATTGCCTTGTAAGTTCAATTAACAATCATGATTAAATTTAAAAAAGAACATAACACGATTCTACATTGACTTTTCCTATACGTTTGATAGGTAAAAGATTTGCTGTATCTTTGTTGTACCTCCAACCATCGCTACAGCGTTTGAAGTCGACTATCAATAAGCTATATAGTACGAGTATAAAAAAAAGGCAAGGGACAACAAAGATTCCAACCTTAACAAAAATAAGAAGTATCCTTATCATCATTATTTTGTTGCATTGTTGGTTGAAATTGAGTTGACTTTCAACAGACAAGACTTTACGATCTAGTGGTGAAATATTTGCCTATTAATTAGTGGCCCAGGTCTGATTTAGAGGGTCGCCTTGATCCGCACGCAAAAATCCGAATATCCTAAATCTAGTCATTTTCCTGCTCGGTTTGCCTAGATTGTCCATTCTAGGCCTTACTCGGACAAGCAATGCATAGGAGGAAGAGCTAGCTGAAAATCAGCTAAGGAAAATGGATAGATATATATAGTCTAACAAATAACCTATATGGGAACGGGGCAAAATCAAGGTGAACATGTATAGTACTAGGAGTGCTAGAGTCAACTATGGGATGTACAGTCGCTTTCGAATGTAAGTGCTTTCGGGCGTTAACAGTGTAAATTTAAACCTAAATTATTGTTTTTTTTTACAGAAAATGGATTCTTTTTTCTCTGTGGTTGACAACTGGTCAAATTAAAATTATGTGGCTGGCGTACGCCCGGTAAGTTGTATAGCACTTGTAGCTTCCGATGTTTTTTCGTCTATACGCTCTAGCCTTCGAATTACACCAGCGTACATTGGATTCCGATGGATGGAGATACAGCTGTAGTAATCTTGTCAAATATTGTCACGTTCAACACAGATATGAACGATAGTTGATAGCGAATGACAAAAAGTGCTAGTCCTAGCTAGTACCTGTTTATCCAGGACCGTTGTCGACGCGCTGATTGAGAGAACATAATGATTTGAATATATGGAAAGCAATAGTGACAACTTGAGCCATAGATATATACCGCTGGCTGGTCATTATCGGTAGCTACAACAATAGGTCTTCAGTGCAGGCTTTGGGCGCGCTTTCCGACGCGCTCGCTTATGCTGCGTGAGTGCCATGCACGATGATATCTGACGTGCGTGCACTCTAATTTTTATGATCTTCTATAACATACCTGATCCTGATTTGACCTTCACTTCTGTGTCGGAGGAGAGGCGAAGCGCGACTTTCGATAGGCTAAGATGTATTGGCAGACATTTTGAGGGCATCCGCAGCTCAGTGGTGGTCATATACGGGACGTGGTTCATTTCATGTTTTCCACAGTTCTAAGAAATTGTCATTTCTAAAGAGCTACTTTGCCGTAACTACACTGCTAACTAGAAGATCCGTCGTAAATGGGTAGCCGCCCAACGTTTCGAAACACCCTTGCTCAAATATGTATTTAATATTCGTGCATTTAAGACACAATCTATCAGAATAAACGTCACCTGTCGGTTCACTTTTTTTTTCAGTAATTTAATTACATCGTGGACGAAGAGGAGCATTGGTTTAAAATGCACTTAAAAATATTAGGTTCTTAGAGGCGGACCCGGCGAACTACGACTGAATAACATTTGGGCTAGTTGAGTTTGAATGATGATTTAATATATGTTAGCGGTATTATCTCTCATTTTTTACGCACTTGTCCTAGTGCTCCTGCAGCTTCTGGACAGTCATATATATATCTACCACTCGTATGCCCATATGTAATTTCTCTATCTATGGCTTGTCGGTGTAAATCGATCATGTATTATGCTCACTTGCCCTTTTGAGAGCAGCGAATGCCACGTAACCACACGAACTTAGTTCGGGAGAATAAGCGAGTTGAAGTCAACATTGGCTATTCTTTGCCCAATCCAGAAAGTAACTGAGACATCGCGATGAGGTCTGCGTGCCTTCGATTGCCCTGCCAACGGTCCATGAATCTCTTCAGGAATTCGAGACAACAAACTGAGTTCATTGTTTCATTTTCGCCAAGTATCCATAGTAACACATGCCCCCCATGTAAATTTCAAGTATTAGCATCGCTCTGTGTCAAAAGCTACTCGTCAATACTACCGAACTCGGTATCTCTCCGGGATGATGGCATCTCCTCATCTGACCCCTCTCCGGCAGGAACTGAAGCATGCTCCCGTTATAAAAGCTGTATACTCTGCGTAGGTTTTCGTTAGATAAGTTCGACAAATAGCTCTCCCAACTGGGCCCGGGTCGATTCACGGGGACCCATTTTTTACTTGGCTCCCACATTTCTAGTAGTGAAGTTATAATTCTGTAATACGTCACATGTGAAACTCCAGTTCTGGCCAACAGAGTCCTTAGGCTCCAGGCTTCGTTTTCGTGAAGACCGCGATCTCGATTGCGGCAATGCGTTCCTGCCCTTTGGGTTTCAACATCTGGTCACGTCTTTGCTAGCCTTCAACACTCTAATCTCTATTTTTGAAAGGTTTTCACTAGTCACGTATTGTGCTTTCATTGAGGGCCTCCTTGTCTAGTGTCGTCACCGTTCCCTAATGAGCCTCCATAGGGCTACGGCCTTCAACGGATTAAATCGTTACCACCGAACGTTAATTTTCGAGGCTAAAAGATGTTGTTTCATCTGAATTACTTTTTACTCTAATAAACTTAATCTTACAAAAACTAGAGTATCTATCAGCCAAACGTTGTTTTAAAGCCGACAGAATAAGATAGTAATAGTAAGTGTGTATCAAACAAACATACGCAGATAACTTCAACGGCTTTCAGTTTATATGGACTTGCGTATATATATATATATATATATGTAGTAGTTTTCTCTGACTAAAGTAGTTGCTCGCCGTTTTTACCATTCTCGCAATGAGTGAGGTCTTTAGTTTAACAAGCTTCACACAAAGCTGGCCCTATTTGACACTCAAAAATTCGGTGTACTTTCGTAAGTGTTACTACACTCTATATGGACTCTATTAATTAGAGATAACAACCGCGCTCTTACCGTTTCCGAACAGTCATTTTCCCTTGACATTTTGACCATTTCTGATTCCTCTAATTTCGATCGAAGTGATCCTTTTAGATGCCTATCGTTCTGTTCGATGCTCGTGTGTTTTACCAGTCAATCTGTTAATGTCCTCAGTCTTTTCATTTTGTTTTTCTTCATCTAATTATATGTTCGTTATTAAATATGCATACTAACAATTACTGTCATCTTGTTTCTAAGCTTCGCTTGACGAGAATACGCTGTACTTCGTATATAAAAAGATCTTTGTATATGAAAAAACCTATTAAATACTTATCCGTTTGGTTATCCAAAGTGGGAACGAATTACGTTTTTGTCGGGTTATTTTGACAGTCGTTTGTGAAGTAGTCAAATGTAAAATTTGCTGAACTTTCCGTTTTGACGAAGATATGTTTGTCGCATTTATGGCCACCGACAAAATGCTGGTATGCTTTGCTGTGGCACAAAAACAGCTATTAAAAAGATGTCGATACTTTGCTATAGCTGAGCTATTTGGTTTCGCGACAGTTCCACAATTAGATGAAATCACGAACACTTGATAAGCTATGAGATAATTCGATTTCAGCGTGAAGACATAAATAACCGCCACGGGATAGGGGGGTCGACGACAGGGTAGTAGCACTCTAATCGGCGTGGGAGTAGGTACGGAATAATTGATAGAAGGTTATGGGACATCGTATTACTGTAGGATAACAAAATCGGTATGCAGAAATAAAAGTACGGCAGGGATGAGAGGATCTTACCATGAAAGTTATAGTGGAAGAATAAAGATGACGATTGCGGAACGGTAACGGAGGAAACGAGCAGAAGTCGACTTTGAAAGGGTCCAGACTCACTTCAGATTAAAGTAGGAAAAAGCAACGGGATAATGTCGAATAGCATACGTCGCATATATGTTAAATGTGAATCATACGAATCAGTTACGGAGCGTCCTGAAGCGAGCGAACTTTGTACATGCATTGTCCTGTTCGGTATGACCATGGCACAGTAGCAATAGGCACTTGGTACCAGTATCCCGTGAAATCTATTGAGATGCCGATTATAATATGTGACCCTTCCTTTAGGTTTTTACTGTTCGTCCCGCTAATGTTTGTGCTATTTATAAGCATATTAGTTTCATTATTATCATTATTCTGTGGGTGACTGAAGCTTCGACAAGGTCAACAGTGTTGATGTTCGAGGCAATAGGAACGAGCACATACGCCTCTTCATACATAATAATGACAACCTGTTGTTGTTGTTATACACTTACATCATGATCACTCAACTTGGCAATGTTTACATGTTAACGCTAAGAGACCAGGCATAAAGCATGGCCTTATAATATCATGACACTTGCCCAGTCGCAGAAATGTGTAACTGACTGAGAATTATGTTCTGTCTTTCTGGTCATCCGTGCTCAACGTGTATATGCATCTTCCCATCCTATCTTGTTGGTATCGTGCTGTACTTTTGCGTAGCATGGCGGCGGCGGCGGCGGCGGCGGCGACGGCGGCGACGGTGGCGACGGCGGCGACGGCGGCGGCATATGTTGTACGCACCCAGCTCTCCAAGCCGTTCTGTGTTTTTCATCCTGTGATGTTTTCGTTATTGCTACCCCAGACGACGATCAGCGTCAGCCATCTTGGTCGTAGAGGCGAATAGCGGAGTTGTACTGCCTCATCACCTTTACTTTTTTTGTTTTTCTTATTCTTCGTCTCTTGTCCAGAAACAGCAGTCCGAATGACTGTTGCTTCATCGATTTGGCTATGCTGGTCGAAGTTATTATTACTAGCGAGTTTCTGAATCTGTTTCTATCGCGTCCACCTCCAGTGCCGCTCGTCGTCGCTGGCAATACGCGCCGAAGGCATCTCGAACGCTTTCTCGCTGTCGTCAGTAGCGCGGCTGTCCGCGGGTGCCGTGTATAGTGTGGCAGGTTGAATCCAGACCATCCATGGACTGTGGAGGCCCGATCGGCCCATGA